AGCGACTTGGTGCGAATGCGGGCGACTGACTTCACGATCCACGCCGACTACGACAGCTACAACATCTACAACGACATCGCCGTCATCAAGTTGCCCAGAGCCGTCACCTTCACCGACACCATCAGGCCGATCTGCTTGCCTACGTCGGCGGACACGATGGAGGGGGCCGTTGCTACAGGTGAGGGAAAGGAGGAGGGAGGAAAGGAGGGAGGGAGGGGGAAGGGGATGGGAGGGAGGGAGGAAAGGAGGGAGGGAGGGAGAGAGGGAGGGAAGGGGGATGGGAGGGAGGGAGGAAAGGAGTGAGGGAGGGAGAGAGGGATGGGAAGGGATGGGAGGGAGGGAAGGAGGGAGGAAGGGAGGGAGGGAGGAAGGAGGGAGGGAGGGAGGGATGGGAGGGAGGGAGGAAAGGAGGAGAGGGAGGGATGGGGGAAGGGAGGAAGGAGGGATGGGAGAGGGAGGGAAGGGAGGGAGGGAGGGAGGGAGGGAGGGAGGGATGGGAGGAGGGAGGAAGGGACGGAGGGAGGAAAGGAGGGAGGGAGGGAGGAAAGGAGGGAGGGGGGAGGGAGGGAGGAAAGGAGGGATGGGGAAAGGGGGGGAGGGAGGAAAGGAGGGAGGGAGGGAGCGAGGGAGGGAGGGAGGGAGGGAGGCAGGGGGAAGGGAGGGAAGGAGGAAAGGAGGGAGGGAGGGAGGGGATGGGAGAGAGGGTGGAAAGGTGGGAGGGAGGGAGGGAGGGAGGAAGGAAAGGAGGGAGGGAGGGAGGGAGGAAAGGAGGGAGGGAGGGAGGGGGATGGGAGAGAGGGAGGAAAGGAGGGAGGGAGGGGGACGGAAGGGAGGGAAGGAGGGAAGAAGGAAGGGAGGGAGGAAAGGAGGGAGGGAGGGAGATGGGAGAGAGGGATGAAAAGAGGGAGGGAGAGAAGGATAGGAGGTCGGGAGGAAGGGGGAAGGGAGGGAGGAAAGGAGGGAGGGAGTAAAGGCGCAAGGAAGGGAGGGAGGGAGGTATACGGAGAGAGAGGGAATGGGAAAAGAAGGAAGGAAGAAAGGGAGGGGAGGGAGGGAGAGAGAGAGAGAGGGAAGGAGAGGTAGGGATTAGGGAGAGAGGGAGGGATAGAGGGACGGAGTAGGTGTGAAATAGGGGGTGACTGAAGTGGAGGGAGAGGATTTGGGCATGAAGGGATGGAGAGAGTGAGGGTGAGGAAGAGAGGAGGGAGATAGAAAGGGAAGGGGAGAGAGGGAAGGAGACTGAGATAGAAGAAAAGAGAGCGGAAAAGAGAAGACGAAGAGATAGATAGATAGGTAGGTAGGTAGAGGGAGGGAGAGAGAGAGAGAGAGAGAGAGAGAGAGAGAGAGAGAGAGAGAGAGAGAGAGAGAGAGAGAGAGAGAGAGAGAGAAGAGAGAGAGAGAGAGAGAGAGAGAGAGAGAGAGAGAGAGAAAGAGAGAGAGAGCAATACATATAGTTTGCAGTATATTCTATAACTAATGGCAAACTGGCAGAAAAGATGAACTTCAGTTGACAACTGACAGATTGGAGGTGAAGTTTAATTAATGGCTGACAAGTTTAGTGGTGATTAGTGGTGATAATTGATTGATAATTGGCAGGTTGGTGGTACATAATGATGCTGTTCTGACATGTATTCAGCGTCATTAAGAAGCTCTCAATACTTCTTGGTTTCGATAAAAAGTACAGCACGAACACACGGCCTCGCATGGGATAAGAGTTACCACATAACGGTGTCCGCTGGTTATCAATTCAGCAAGATATTTCTCGTCTAAATACACGTTCTTTCCCCTAATAGTAATGCAGTTAAGATAACATGTAGCATATACCCTGCCCCTATTTTTTTCAAATTTACCTAAGAGAACGATTTTAATCCACTGTCTCTCTTGTTTTCCAAATGAACGTTTATTATTTTTAGTCCCCTGTCCCTTTTTTTTCAAACTAACCTAAAAGAACTTCCAAATTATCCTAAAATAACGTATGTTTTTAATCACCTATCTCTCTCTTTTTTTCAAAATAACCTAACCTAACGCCTGTTTTTAATTCCCTCTCTCGCTTTCTCCCAATTAACCTAAAAGAACGAATGTTTATAATGTCTCTTCTTTACCCCGCCTGTCCCTGACCACAGCCACCGGGTGGGGGACGCTCTCCTTCTACGGAGAAGAAAGTCAGGTCATGCAGGCGGTGGACCTGGATGTGTGGAGCAACGACTTGTGCAGCATGGCTTGGGCTAAGATATACATGACCATCGCCAGCACGCAGGTGTGTGCGCTGGGAAACGGGAAGGACACCTGTTCGGGCGATTCTGGGGGGCCTCTGGCGGTGCAGGTACGTGGTGGTGTCCAGGTAGAGCGCGTGTGCATGCGGGCGGTGGGTATGGGATGAGACAAGCACGGATGCTGAGGCATACTATACACGAATGCTGAGACACGCAATACACGGATAATGACACACACACACACACACAGAGGACATCACAACCCAACCCAACATACAGATAATTAAGTCTACAATATCGTACAACTTCATTACCATTGATAGTTACTATAACCTTTTTTTCCAGCATTAAACATCTCAACCCGTAAAACACACACACACATACACACACACACACACACAAACACACACACACACACACACACACACACACACAATCACACACACACACACACACACACACACACACACACACACACACACACACACACACACACACAATCACACACACACACACACACACACACACACACACACACACACACACACACACACACACACACACACACACACACACACACACACACACACACAATCACACACACACACACACATACACACACACACACACACACACACACACACACACACACACACACACACACACACACACACACACACACACACACACACACACACACACACACACACGCACAAATACACACACACACACACACACATATTTATTTATATATTTTTTCCTCGCTGAAGGTCGACGGAAAGTACGTCCTGCTCGGCATAACCTCCTACGGCCACGGCTGCGCGACGCCGGGGGTGCCGGGCGTCTACACGCGCGTGTCTTCCTACCTGACGTGGATCGCGGCACATGTAGAAGAGGGGTATTGCCAAGGGGATGGAGCTAAGAGAAAATAGAAGAAGTGAGAAGATGAAAAGATAGAGAGAGAGAGAGAGGAGGAAGAAGAAGAAGAAGAAGAGAAAGAAGGAGAAGGTGAGGAAGAAAATATGAGGAATACGAAGAAAAAGAAGAACCAGAAAAAAGACAAGAATAAGAACAAGAAGTAGAAGAGGTAAGCGAAGGAGAAGAAGAGGAAGAAGAAGAAGAAGAAGAAGAAGAAGAAGAAGAAGAAGGAAAAACGGTAATGGAAGGAGAATGAATATAGAAAACGGTTACAGATTTCACGAGAGAAAACGAATATTTTTTTGAAGGGTAACTCAAGAAAATATCACTCCCAGTTGAATTACTAAATTCAAGTGATGTGAGATCTGAATGTGAAACCTACTGGCTCGAACATAATAACTAAAATAAAGATTAATGAATGACCGAATTGTTTTTATTGTCATTAAAATGTCACTATTTATGACAGACATATTAAGCGAATAATACTTTTCATTTTCGAAAACTAATGTAAGTAGCACTATCATCATTAGCATTAGAATTATCATTATTATTACAATTATTATTATCATTATCATTGTCATTTTGTTATTATTATTATTATTATTATAATTATTATTATCATCGTAGTTACTATCATTATTATTAGTGTTATTATTATCATTAACATTATTATTATTATCATTATTATTATCTAATTCATCACTATCATTTTTATAACTAAATTTATCATTATTACTGTTATCATTGTATTTATATTATCATATTATTATTATTATTATTATTATTATTATATTTATAACTATTATTTTTATTACTAAATTTATCATTATTATTGTTATCATTATATTTATATTATTATATCATTATTATCATTATCATCCTCATTATTGTTGTTGTAACCTTATTATGCTTTTCATTATTTTTATTTCCCTTTGTATATTTTTATTAATGTCCTTATCGTATTCTATCAGTAAATAGAATAACCTTTTTTATCACAAATAACGATTGCAATTACTGAAATCTTTCACTCTCTCTCTTTATATACATATATATATATATATATATATATATATATATATATAAATATATGTATATATATACATATATATAAATATATATGTATGTATATATATGTATATATATATATATATATATATATATATATATATATATATATATATATATATATATATATATATACATATATATACACATATATGTGTGTGCGTGTGTGATGGTGCGCACACACCCACATATGTATATATAAAGAGAAAGAGAGAGAAAGATTTCAGTAACAGCAATCGCTATTAGCGACGAATAAAGGTTATTATATACATTGATAGACAGTCGGCTTGAAATGGTTATGGCTACTCCCTGCAGACGATGCCCATCACCCAGCCCGACCAGTAGTAGGCGTAGCCATCCACACTAATCGTGCCGCGGCCAGGTCTTCTCACCTCCGAGAGGGCAGCCGCCTCTACTCCAAACTGCTTCATTCCCCTCGATAGCAGGTGTAACCACTCGTCCTGCTGCAAGGGCCGGATGTTCCAATCACCTGTCCGGATAGCTCACCTTAGGTTAAGCCTCGGGCGGTCGCTTCGGGTGGACGCCACCTCTGCCCCCCCCCCCACCCCCAACGCTGCCCCAAATAAGGGGGTCGGCAGATTGTTGGGCCCAACGTCCGCCTGTGGGGCTCCCCTGGGCTTTGGACCGCAGGCCTCATACTGGGTTGGCGCAGGTGGTATGAGTAACTCTCACTCTCTCCCTGCGCCATAACATTGGCTCTACCGACAGGACCCACAGCCCGCTTCACTTGCTGGGTGGGAGGGACAGAACCCCTCCCCCCTGCATGTCCATTTAATAGAAGGT